TGCCTAATATTTTTAATTATTCATTTATTTCACTTCTTTCTATTTTTGTTACTATTTTGGTTTTTTTTGTTCTTGTATATTTAATTAATTTTTGAAACTTAACAATGCTTTCTTCTTGTTGTTGTTCTCCCTGACTTCTTCAATTTGTTGTCATGTTGTATACTTTTTTTTTTAGATATATGTTTACTTGCTGTTATGATGATTGCTTCTTTTATTATATCCTATATATTGTTTATTTTTTTTACTCTTCTTTTTTTATCTTGTTTTTTCTTATATATGTCTTTTAATACCTTTTTTATTTCTAATTAGTTTTGCAGCTCTTGTGCATAATTTTTCTAGTCTTTTGATTTTGCTTGATTATATAAGTATATTATCTTTGACTGTCTTTTCTTTTTAACCTTTGTCTTGCTTTTTTCTGCTATTATGTATCTGATCCATATTTCAGCCATTACTATTCTGTGATTACTTTCTGTAATCTCTTTTACTTTTTTGATTTTTGCTTTTTGTAAGCCTGAGGCTAATTCTTCTAATATTCATATATAGTTAATTCTTGTTACTACTTCTCCATTAGATCATGTATATTGTTGATTCATCAGATTCATGTCTCTATATGTATCTTTAAAGTCTTATTTTTTCAACTAATTAAAGGTTAGCAACTTTTTGTAATTTATTATTTGTAGATATTATCTGTCTAGAATATTATCTGCTATATAATTAAAATCACCTATTACAATAATTTGTGTTTGTCTTTTTCCTTTTGAAACTATTTTTACAATTTTTTGCTGAATTTTTTTCTTTACTACTTTATTATTTAGTGATATATAGACTATAATAACTACTAACTCCAATTGTTTGAAGTATAGTATTATCTTTATTATATATTTACTTATTTTCTTAACTGTATTTATGTACTTTTCTCATCATTTATTTATCATAATTCCAATACCTGAACCTTTTTTTTATTTTCTGTTATGTTTGCCAGGATTCTACCTATCATATATATTAGGAATTTACTTCTCTTTCTGTAAGATTTGTCTTTGTAATTCCTAGTATTGTAATTTCCTCTTCTTCTGTTTAGCTAAACAGATTTTCCAATTTTTAACCTTTGGTCTTGAGTCTATTTATATTATAACATGCTAGTTTTATTTTTTTTTTACCTTTTTTTTATTTTTCTTTTAGTAATGTTGGTTTTGTTTTTGTGTTTTTAGGTTCTTTTTTTTCTCTACTGCATATTCCTTCTTCTTAACAAGAAGTTTCTACTTCTCTTTTTTCTTTAAACACCTTCTTTTCAATTTGTAAAAACCTTTCAATTTTCTTGTCTATATTTATTAGTTCAACTGTGACATCTTTAGAAGTAATCAGCTAGGCTATTTCTTGTACCTAGCTGTATTTTCTTTATTTTGTCTAGTTTATCTAAAATTTAGCACAAAATATCTTCTACTTGTATTGTTCTCACTTGATCTTGCATGACTGCTTTAGTTTTTCTTTTCTTTTGATCATTTTTTTTTATTTCTATATTGGCATTTTTGTCTTCTAACATTCTTCTATATTTTATATCTGGAAGTCTAAACCTATTTTACCATATCTTCTATTTGGCTTTTCTTGCATTATGTTTCTAATTCTTGATATCTTTTGTTGTTTGCTATCTATTTTTGATCTTTTTTGTTTTTTATTTCTTGATTTATTTCTTTTTTGTACTTTTTTTCTTCTAGGATTTTTCTAACTTACTTAGTAGTTATTGTACTATATTGGTGTTGTTTGGGTTTTTTCTGCTACTAAAGCATTTGCAAAGATGATTATTGCAAACTTTTTTTAATTTTTATTTCTGTTACATGAGATGTATACTGCTTTTGTATCTTTGTTTTTAGGCATTATAACAAAAACATTTCTGAGGCTCCTCTTGGATTATTTAACTATTTAGCTATGTATTGTTCTTATTTGTCTCTTTGGTCATAATCTTCATCTTTATTTGTTATACATACTAATTTGTTGTTACCAAGTAGCAATATCTATGAAATATTTTCTTGTTTCTCTTTAAGCTTACTACTATCACTGCCAATATCTTATATAGTGATTTCTTAACTTATATAATGTTTAAGTTTTTGAGTTTTCTATACATATATCTTATCTTTTTTTCATTAATGTTTGGTAATAGATCTCATATAGTTAACTATTTTTTCTTATACAACTTCTTTTCTTCTTCTTTTTTTTCACCATTTTCTATTATGATGCATTTTTTTGTAGAGTTTTTTTTTTTTCTTCTTTTTTTTATTTTTTTATTTCTTTTGTTTTTCTTGGTTTTTCATTTTTTTTATTTGTTTTATATATATATTTTTTCTTTTTTTAGTATTGTGTTTCTCTTGCTGCTCTGTTTTTTGACTTTTATTCTTATTCTTTTCTAGAATAAGTTTAAGTTATTTATTTTTTTTCTTCTAATTCTGTCCATTACTGTATCTCTATTATATTTACAATCAAAATTTATTTTTATCTAATTGTTTTTATTTTTGAATACTTCTTTGATTGTTTTAATATGATGATTATTTTCTAAAATTTATTAAATATACTTTACACTTTCTTCTTTAGATTTATTTAGCAAAGCATATATTGACATATTTGTCTTAAAGAACTTGTTCTTATTACATATTATATTTTTTGAAGATTATTGACTATACTTAATTGTATTCACAAAAAATAAGACATTGGTTTCTTAATTAGTTAGTTCATCTTTTTGTTTTTCTAATTCCATATTTGTGTCTTTACTATTTTTTTTTATTTCTTGTAATATGTTATTTTTTAGTATTTTAGATTTATTAGTAATTTGGCTTATTTAGTAATGCAATATAATAATACTAAGATCTTTTATTTGTTCTTCTAGTATTACTAGTTCTTAATTATTATTTGTTATTCTTTCTTTTTGATGTTTTATTTCTTTATTTATATTTGTGTTATATTCAAAAGAGTCTGAATTGAAACTTATTGATTTAAGCTTTTCTGTCTACTAATTAATTTTTTTTTTTTTGAGTCAGCCTGTTTTTGCTAATCTTAAGGTTTCTAATTTTGATTATATATTAATATGTCATAAGATATAATATGTTTTGAGTCATATATTGTTAAATCTTTAACAATATGTTTTATATTATTTGGATTTTATCAGAAGTTTTAAGAACTTGGTTCAAACTTCTACAATCTACATGTCTTTGTTTTCTATTACCTATTTCTCTAATATAAAATATAATATTTGTATTACAATTTTCATTTATTAGTTTATATTTTAATAGATTGGATCAAAAGTTTCTTTTTTAACTAATTAGTATCTAAAATTAAGTTTTTATAATATTTATTAGTATGTTGTTAGTACTATGTTACTAATTCTATAGTAATACTTACTGTTTTCTAATTAGATAATAAGTCTTGTTTGTTTGTTGTTATTTATTATTGCTATAGTTATTATATATTTTGTTTTTGTTTCTTAAAATAATATCAATTTCTTAAAAATTTTACTTTTCTTATTAAAAATATTACTGTTTCTTATTAATATCTTAGTACAGCTTCATTTGTCTTCTAAACTCTGCTATACTATATATATTTTCTTCTAATATAATTTTTTTGTTAATTATTTAAATAATGTTTACTAGTCTGTTTTTTTGTTATTCTTATATTTTGTTTTCTTTTATTTTAAAATTAAGAATTAGCAAATAGAGTTGTGTTCATTAAAATATATTTGATTTAATTAAATTTAAATTGATTTAATATTTAAGTTGATTTAAATTTAAAAAACACTAATTTTTGTATTTTAAAATAATACAATAAAGCAATTTTTTTTAGAAAATTGCTATTTGTATCTCTCATTTTTGCTAATACCACCCTTTAAATACAAAAAAAATGTTTTTAAAAGTGATATAATTATTAAATAAACCTTTTTTTTGGTATTAATTAAAGTTGTTTATTAGATTTTTTCAATTCTAATGATAGTAAAATCATTAAAATCAGACTAGTAGTTTTTAAAATATTTATACCTATATTTATAATCTTTAATTCACTTTTAAAAATAAACTACCAGTCTGATTTTAGCAATTTTACCATTATTAGAACCGGAAAGGTCTAATAAACAACTTTACTTAATACCAAAAAAAAGGTTTACTTAATAATAATATCTCTTTTAGAGCACTTTTTTGTATTTAAAAGGTGGCATTAGCAAAAATATGAGGTAAAAATAGCAACTCTTTCTTTTATTGTACTATTTTTTTTATATATTTAATAAAATAAAATTTTTACACATTTATTACGTATTTTACTAATCAATATATAAAAAATAATGGCATAGTAATTATCTAATTCATTACTATATAAAGAATTGTCAGTAAATTTAATTGGTTCAAGTTCTGATCATCTGATTGGCTGATCTTAAAAAATGATCTACAATGATCTACACAAAATTGGCCAATCAAACAAACTTCTGCCTGAGTCAGTTAATTTTCATGTGACCACGCACGGATATAAAAAAAAAATTTTAAAAATTGCAAATGATAATCCTCCTGGAAATCGCACCCACTGTGAGTGTGAAACAAAAAAATTGTTATATATATAATATAATTGATATTAATTTCATAGTAAGTAACTAATAACATTAATATCAAAACATTCAGAAGAATTGTTTGAGATTCATTAAATAATATTGAATTAATGATCATTGGACAAAAACGTCATGAAGCTATTGTATTAATTCTATTTCGTAGTGTTTAGACAATAGTCATTTTTATTATGTAATCCTTAAAGCTTCAGTCCTTTACAGTTATTTCCAAAGACACGAGACGGATCCCTTTTTTTTATGCAATACGAAGATTTAAAAAAAATAGGGACCTGTATTATGTTTTTTGAAAACAACAGTAGTTTTTTTTATGGATGCATTATAACTAATTGAATTTTTTCATTTAAGTTTAGGGACGAATATAAGTCAGAATTATAGCAAGATTGATTATTGTGACTCCTGTCGGTACATTATGGTTTCAAAATTACCACCAGAATGTCTCTACAAAATATTTGACGAATTCAGTTATAGCCAAATTGGCAAAGAGAAAAATGGGTTCATTCATCTTCGTTCTGTCATATTAGTGAATAAATACTGGTGTAATGTTGCCATTCCAATACTTTGGCGTAGAACATTTAATTGGATATATCAGAAAAATAATGACGGGAACAGACATGTCCATCTTATGTCAACCTATATTTCATGCTTGCCAGAAGAATCTAGTGTCATTTTAGACAAGTCTGGAGTTAATTCATTGATCACTCAATCAGCATTTCGATCAAATTTTGACTATCCTTCCTTCTTGCAAGGTCTACAATATAAATGGTTATATAATTCTGTAGATAAGTGGTTGGATGCACATACTTCGACAGACGTTATGAGAGGAAATCGCGAGATGAATCCTCTTCCAATTTTTGTTGAAGAATTGTGCAAGTTATTTATGAATAGATGTACAAACTTGTTGCAGCTTTCTTTTAATCATCTGGATGATTTCGGTGAATATCCTATATGTCCCATAGTTAATATGCCAAGTTTTACCGGAGCTTCAGATGCACTAGCGAATCTTCGTCATTTTGACTTTCATGGATGTCTGGATCCAAAAATTCTAGAGAGTGCAGCAAAGATATGCAAATTCGTTAAAGTGCTCTCAGTTGCCTGTTGTTGTTACGATAATGAAGGTTTGGCCACGTTTATTGACCAACAAACTCGTTTAGAAAATCTTTCAATTGAATTTGAACAAAATGGAGGTGATCTTCCTAAGATAAGGAATTCCTTATGTAATAAAGGGAAGGATCTTTCTGCGTTGATGATTAGGCAAATTTTTTTTCCACTAGATATTCTCGGTCATAGTCCAAATCTTACAGGCTTATTTATAGAAGATGGATATGATCTGCACAGAGATATTTTTGGACAATTTGTCAATTGGCAGTTTTTTCGACTCACAAATCTTTTCCTTGCGATCAAGAATGTACACATTGGTTCTATCATTCAATTGATAAATAATACGCATGGAAACCTCACCACTGTTAGGATTGTATGGACCAAACCTGTTGATAAATATAATTTTAATCTTTACACTGAAACTATTCTTGTAAGTTGTCCGCGCTTGATTGCTTATCATGGATATTTTGATGACAGTGAAATTGGAAAGATGCCCGAGTTTTTCGAGAAACATAAAAATCTAGAAGAGTTTCATATTAGTCAATATTCTCTCACACGTTGTGAGATCAGTAATATGTTGAAGAAGCTTGGAAAATATCTGCCATCAAAATTACGAGAAATTTATCTGCCAACCAACTATGTTTATACCACTGAATCTTTGGAGTCATTCCTTGAAAGTTGTGCAACAAAACTACATGCCCCTTTGAAACTTACCCTCCGCTGTAGATCTACAATACACGAAGAAATTCTTTCTCGTTATGTGGAACGAAAAATTATCAAGGTAGTAACTTAAATTATTTTCAATGTTCTTTTACGTATTATTTTTTCCATCGTTACTGATCATGACTATAACGTTTTCTTCAGTTTACATAATATTTGATTCTATAGATTAGAGAAATAATTATCATACATTATCATGCGTAGAAATACTATGTTGATTAAATTGTATATTTATTAAAAGCTTCACCACTTAAGATGAAGCATCATGTAATTAACATTTCGTGATGACGGGTCACAATTAAATGGTATTAAAATATTATTTGACATAGAAAACTTATAAATGTCATTATAAACATTAGAAGGAATGTATTAAAAATAAATTGCGTCATAGTATTATTAGAGTAGATAATGAAATATATATAATTTTGTATTATTATTTAATAATCTTTGAAATGCTTAAAAAAATTTTCTTTTTATCCTCTTGACATACATCAAAGTATTTATAAAATTGTTATAGAACATTTAAACAAACATTCTTTACGATCTAGATTTAGAAACTATTATTTGTGGCTAGAAAATTATGTACCGACATCAACGGAGGCAATTGAGGTATACAAGCCATAAAAGATTATTGCGTAACCAAACTCTGCAAATCGATTAAAATTCAGGGTCGGAATTGGCTGGACTTGAAAGTTTCCAAAATCATCAAAATTTTACTAGCAAAGCGATAGCCCACGCCTAGATGCTAAAATAGTTGGCTGGTATATTATTGTTTATTGCCTGGTGAAATGATACGGATCCATTCATGTCAAGATCTTTCTGATAAAATACCATCAATAAAATTTAACCAATTCTTTCAACATACAAATGTGTTCACTACCAGATGTTTCATCCTGAGGATCAAAATCTCTTGATAGCCTTCATCAGACATGCATAAAATCCTACTTTTATCAAAAAGATCATTGTAACATTTACTTTGACTGTTTAAGTAATAAAATTAATTAAACTATTAATTTGCTGTTTCGTGGCTGTGATTAAAACATGATTGTACGATCACTTGAGGTTGAAACAAACATAATGATGACTAATAAAATTATATTCATTAATTTCAAAGATAACAATAAACTTTGTTTATTCCCTTCGGCGCTTTCCTAACAGAAGATGTCGCACAAAAGATTCACTATGCTAGATTTGTGTACGTACACACATCATTTAGTATAAAAATGATGAATCAATAATAATCTGCTGTTATCGTTACCATATGATAATAACATGCTGTTTGATTCACGACCTCGCTTTATTTCTTTTGTGTCTATTATAATTGCATTTTTAATTGGCTTTTTTTTCTTGGCCCAGCAACTCATTCAGCAAGATGATTTTGTAAAAGTTAGTGGTCATTGGTTAGAAGAGAAATTAGAAGCTTATTTGCTAGATAATAAATTAGGTTATGGTAGTTGGACTAAAATTTTAAGTCATCAAGATTTTCCTGACTATCAAATTAGACTAAAAGAACCAAAATTATGTGATACTTCTGTTCAACAGGTTCATATACTGTATTTAGGTGAATTTGTTTTGCAGATTGTCGGGTTTTTACCTAAATTTTATATCCATATATTGGTTTAGTATTCTGGATATCTTGATGTTAGTAGAAAGAAACACTTTTTTTTTTGGTTCTTTGAATCTAGAAATGATCCAAGCAACGATCCTATTGTTCTTTGGGTAAGTATCTGATATCGATTTTAATTATTCAATCCTATATATATGTAATTTAGTTATTACCATTGTTTTTTCATAGTTAAATGGTGGTCCGGGGTAAGTGTGCTAGTTGAATCATTATTATTTCTGTTTATTTCCATGCTTGCATCGATTGATGTCGATCATATTATTAGTTGTTCTTCTTTAGTTGGCTTGTTTTTTGAACTTGGCCCTTGCACAGTTAATGAAAATGGAGATGATACTACTATCAATCCTTATTCATGGAATTCTAATGCTAGCATCATTTTCTTGGATCAAGTATTATATTTTTATAGTCAATATGTAATCAATATTTACAAATGTAACAATTTATTTATATTATTATCGGCCTAGCCCATGAATGTTGGATACTCTCATGGTTCCAAAGTGAGCACGACCCTTGCGGCATCCATTGATGTTTACGCATTTCTACAAATTTTTTTCCAAGAGTATCCTCAATATGCACATTTGGACTTTCACGTTGCCGGTGAATCGTATGTGCTTTTATCTTATTTAAAAATATTTTACCGTATAAGCCGAAATAACACCCACCTAAATATGACTTTAAATCTTGGTAATATTTATGAACTTGAATGATTTACTTAAATATTTAGACTGATAAACACTGAGGCTAGCCCATGGGCTATATATGCTATTTTTGAAAAACATATGATTTTTAAAATAACTCCCACGAGTGTTATTTCGCGCTTATACGATATGATCGCTTATGATAATAAATACTTATATTATTTATAGGTACGCAGGTCATTATGTTCCTGCCATAGCTGCTGAGATTAATAATAACAATAAAGGAACATCACCCTGGGTTCTCGACAAAAAACCAAAGTCCCTTTTACATATAAACCTGGAATCAATTCTGATAGGTAACGGTATAGTAGACCCGTTGGTCCAATATAAATATTACCCAGACATGGCTTGCAATTCATCCTACGCTCCAGTACTCGATATTCCGACTTGCAACAAAATGCGTGATGCTTACGCGACTTGCGCCAAGATGATTAAAAAATGTTATGATGGTGTTACTACAACTTGTTTAACTTCTTCAATGTATTGTAACAGACATATCGTTTTTCCTTATTATTCAACTCGCAGAAATCCTTATGATGTGAGGAAACAATGTGATAATGGGGATTTGTGTTATCCAGGCATAGACGTCATTGAAAAATATTTGAACAGAGGAGATGTTAAAGAAGAACTGGGTGCAAACCCTTGGATGAGGTATAGAATCTGTAGCTCGCAGGTTAATTTTAGATTTCAAATGGCTGGCGATCTGTAAGCGTTGATTTATTTTTAAGATAGTACACTCCTTACCCGATGTTAACATATTTGTTTTGTTAAGAATGAAACCTTTTCATATTCTACTTCCACCTCTTTTGGATGATGGTGTACGTATTTTAATATATGCGGGAGACGCAGATTTTATCTGTAATTGGGTTGGTAAGTTTAAATCTCTTTCGAATTCATTACATTTGTTCCTCTTCAAATAGTTAATTCCATATCATCATGATTCTCCAGGGAACGATGCATGGACTAAAGAATTAGACTGGAGTGGCAAACAAGGATTCAATGATGCAAAAACTAGACCTTGGAAGGTCAAAGGTGATAAATCAGTGCATGCGGGTGAATATAGGTCTTACAAAGGACTTACTTTTTTAAGAATTTTTGAGGCAGGACATATGGTCCCATACGATCAACCTCGTCCAAGTTTGAATTTTTTCAATAGGTGGTTGTCGAAAAAGCATTTATAAATGCATTAGGAATTAAGGAAATAAAGCCTAGATATGGTTATTTGGATTTGATTATATCAATATTAATAAATATATTAAATATTTTGTCAAAATTTAGCTTATAATTAACAGTAGTGTTCTTAGTCGATTCATATTTATCGAGCCTTGTGTCAGAATATTCGACCCTTCCCTATGTGGTGTATGATGCATAAAATTTGATGGACACACTAATTCGAAAAGGGCGATAATTTATTATATAGCCATGCAATCACTATAAAATTTTTTACTAATTATTCATTTAAGTTCAAAGAATAAAGCTGTGTTTATTTGTTCTATTAATATATGGATTTGAAATTCATTTTAAAAAATATATACGTACAACAGAGCAAAAAATTGAAAATTGAAAAATAAGTTGTATTTGTGTAACATATAAATTTGCAATACAGTATACTACATCGAGATTTGCTATTTATTACTATTGGTAATTATTACCAGTGTATAATATAAAATAAAATTTTATTAACAAAACTACTTTGAGGTTCTAATAAACAAAAATCTCTGTAAAATTTACAATCCTTTTTTTATTCCAATTCAAGCTTTTAAACCTTACTCTAAATATTAAAAAAAAAAAATTTTTTTTTTTCAAAGAGAGATCTATCCTCTATCTCTTTATTAATTAGTTAATTTAAATATATAAGATACATGCAGAAGAAACTAAGCTAGGGGAGATGGGAGTAAGAGCTACTTTACTCTTGACCTATTCTTTGCTAGAATGATCAGTAAACCTCTAGTCTATAATAAGATAACTGAAAGAAAATTGTTTACAAGTGATATAATAATAGATTTTTTCATTTAGTAGGGGAGATAAAATTGGTTTAGTTTTGATCAGTATTGGATGTTGTAAAGATGATGGGGTTGGTCACAAGAAATCATGTTGTATCATTTGAAAAGGGAGTTAGAGTTCTTTATATATTGCAAAAATAATGTTGTGATAAATAAGAGAAGTGTATTTGTATTCATGTTTGTTATTTTCAAAAGATGTCAAGATGTTGTTAGCTATTAGACTTAATGGTATTTGTTTGTCAATATGGTTTAAGATGAAAACTTGAATAATTTATTTATCTTATAACAAGGTATTTTTAGATTGTTTGCTGCTTTATACACTGCACAAGTTATTAATATTGTAAAATGTAAATGGTTTTTAAAATAATTTAAAAGATATATAATAGTTTTCAGAATATTATAGCATCTTGAATAGAGATAGTTTTTAGGGTGTGGGTCCCATAGCTTAGCAGTTAAGCTCCCATACCCTCCACAGTCAAGGTCAACGGTTCAAGTCCAGCTGGA